CAGTAACGAAGTATTTGTACTTCGTTACTTCCCATCTCTGGTGAAATGTTTGCTGCTGTGCGAACAGCTGGCTGCTAGACAACAACAGCCCCTAAGAAAAATGCTTTCTGTGCTTTAAGCAATAAACAGCAGGAACTAGTTTTTAATAGGTCTTATTTGTAGAATACCACATTTTTAGATATATAAAAAAATAAAAAAATACTTTCATTATAAACTGATTAAACCTAATTACAGTTATAGTTACCTGCAAGCACACTTTTTTCAAAGATGTTTAAATTTCCAAATCCCTCATTTACAGAGGAGTTAAAGGTTTTAATGTTTATTTTTCCAGTAGAAGTATAAATCCTACTGTTTAAAAATACTTTTGTAGAAGTTAGAGGATTAACTTAAGCTTTTTACTCAAGTAAAAATCTAAAAGTAAAAGCAATGCAGGAAAAAATGTTGACAGAAGTTTTACTGCACTACCCTATTAAAGGAAAAGTTTTCTACAATTCTGGATGATAACTTCCATAAACCTCATTTTCTTAGTTTTATAAGCTGTGGTAGTTTTATAAGCTGTGGTTAAGCTGTCGGTTTGGTGTTATGGAGCCTCGGCGGAAGTTCAACTGAATAAACTGAATATAACCTTCATCCACCTACGAAACCACCAGTTTCAGGCCTGGAGGGAAACAGCCCTGTTCTTTACTCCTGTTCATGCATATCAAACTAAATTCAGCGCTATGTTTCCTGCCGAGGTCTGAGCGCCAAAGACTAAAGTATTTGTATCAATAAATTTATTCTAATTGTCTTTTTTCTCCGTGTGAATTTTTCAGATTGAGTTAGAGTTTTTTCAACATTCAGCAGTCTGATGGCGGCGGGGAAGAAGCTGTTGCAGAACCTCCTAGAGGGCAGCAGGGAGAACAGTCCATGGTGGGGGGTGAGGAGTCATTGATGATGTCACAGGCTCGGGACACGCAGCGCTGGGATGAAATGGTAATCGTAACAGTGTCAAATTTAACTTTGCATCTTGTTTGAAAAACTATTTAATTTTGTATGTGGGGAACAACAAGTTGGGGCAGCACCAAGTCCAGCCACAAATAAATTAATTGTCTGGATGAAACTAATTATTTTGATGATTTTTATTTTATTTAGATAATAATAGACCATAATGAAAATGAGCCTTGATGAAACAAAACGAGTCTATTTTTAAAATGTAAGGAGCAGAAAGTGGCGATAATTTAAAAAAGGAATGTGTGTAGTTGAAGTAAAAACATGTATTGTTTTACTTGACTCCTCTGCTCATTTATCATGGATGCATGAAAATCACCCCAAGAACCAACAGAAACCCATGAGTGATACGTAATTATTGAAATATGAGAATGAAACCTCACTGCCTCTGAGTACCTCAGTATTTGCTAACATGCTGAAACCATTAACAACTGTCCGTATTATCTGAATAAGTTTGTGGATGTCGGGGGGATTTCAGTCCCACCTCCCTAAAGGAAGAGTGGTGCAGTTCTTTATTGACTTGGCCACTTTTCAGCAGTAGCTATGAAAAGAGAAGCCAGGGCAGAGTTAAAAAAGGGACAGGAGTTGCTCTAGGGTTCCCACAATCCAATACTTCCTGAGAAAAAGATGTCAAATATGGAATAAGGAAAAAGGGAGACTTTCAGTAACATTTTTCTGTTCCGCTGAAAGTCTAAGTCATGTTTACATGCAAGCGTTTTGCAGTCGGATTGAAATTTATTTTATGAGCGGGTGTAATCCTCTGATCCAAATGGTGTCAAGTTTCTGTCTGCTCTTGGGTCTAATGTTGTGATACCATATCTTCTAAGAAATCTTTTAGTGTTTGAGAATCATCCATGTGAATAACTGACTCACCGTGTGCCCAGTTTTAAGCCTAAAAGCTCCAGCGGAGAATGCACCCACTCCATCAGAGATCTCCACATTTATATGATCCCTCAGAAACACTGAATAAAGATAACTTTAAAGGAGAAGTCCAGTCAAAAAGAAATAATCAATGGATCATTACTTATACTTAAAACTAATATGTTTACGGTGATTTAATGAATTAAGCGTTAATCAGTAAATAAAAAGAAACAATATATTTTTGTCATGATCACTGAATCTGGGAGCGGCCATTTTTGCCCTAATATAGTAGCCCCTCCCTCCTGCCATCTTCCAGCAGCGACGTCACGGTGCGGTAAGCCTAGCGCCATTCTCCCCGCTTTACAAGCTAAATCAATGGGAACTACTAGACACATCTGCAATCAACAACAATTATTGAAGATTTCCAGAGGACTTCACCATTGAAATTCACCAGAGCTATAGTGAAACTGACAATGCCCACGTGCATGGCAGCTGGATGCTGGAATACATCGGGTAAAAGTGGAAAAAAAAGAGTTATTCCACCTTTCTGATTCCTGATCCTCCACGGACGGGTTGGTCGTTGGATCGCCAACTTGAAGAGGGAGGATTTACCATCGAACTTCTGGCCAGAGAAAAAACCCGTAATATGTAGCCAACATTTGGAAGAAGAATGTTTTCAAGATGACTTGGATAATAGCACGTTGTGACAAACACCAGATACAGCACTGGGACTTGATCAACAGCCGATACCGCACCGTGACGTCACTAACCAGTAGGTGGCAGTAGTGTTCTTTGACAAACATGGATGCCTTCAGTAAAGCACATTCACATGAAAATTACTCTGAATTAAAACCTCTGATCATTTATTGAACAGGATGGAATCATTTCATCCGTTGCATTTCCAAACTCTCCCGAGTGGTGCCCCACTTTACACGAGTGATTAAAGTGAATCTGATTGGTCGATTATCAAAGGGGCGGGATTGTTGTGGAGGAAGGTTCACAAACATTTTGGTCGTGGACGGGTTGTCAGAAGCATCATGCTAACCAGTTAGCAACTTAGTGCTAGCAGGTTCCCAATGGGAAATTCCATTGGGACCAAGTAGCACTAAATTGGTGACTTAGAAACGACGCTGTCAAGGAACGCTATGGACAGAGGAAACATGCAAGAGGAGGAGAGTTTAGTGTCGGAGGTCGTGGATGAGTCTCCTCCGTCATCCATTTTTTATTTAGAGGAGGAAAGCGGGGACGAAGATGTTGTAGAAGAGGACGCCAGGGCGGCAGAAGCTTGGTTTGGTGTAGAAGGCTTCTAGCTTTACATTTTTCAATTTTTTTTTCTTTTTCGATTCAGTTTATTTCTATAGCACCAATTCACATCATGTCATCTCAAGGCACTTTCCAGTTCACCAGATCATCCAGTCAGATTGATTCAAAGTTTTTTAAGGAAAACTAGTTGATTGCATCGACTCATTGACTCAAATACAATCCCTCACACTAAACATGCTTGTAGCGACAGTGGAGAGGAAAAACTCACTTTTAACAGGAACATGTTTGAGCCCTTGCCTCGCAACGCTGCCAGTTCTGTTAGCTCTACGCCTGCTGAAGACACAGACGTCCATCCCCGTGAACACTGGGACACAACTCAATGGGAAAGGAAATTATTCTCATTTCGTATATTAGTATATTAGCTGCGACATATGAATCAAGATGCTATGACCGAAAAAATGTGATTGACAGATGACCGTTGATATGATTGGCCGACTTTAGGTGTTCAGGCTGATGATAACTAACTGCATAAAATAATAGGAAAAATCCCCCACAGATTTTAAGACAGAATTTTTTTCTTTTTTAAGAAGTTTTCTAACTTTTGGGACAATATCCTCTGATAAAGAGTACATTTATAAACATGTTAAAGCCAGAACGATTTAACATTTAAATATGACTTTCCTACAACATTAAAGTACTTTCAGAAGTTTGAATTCTGAATAAGACCGGACTTTTTCTTTTAAAAAACCCTGTTGATCTTTCATTAAAATGGTTTTACTTGTTATCTGATGAAAGGTAACTTCTACTTAATAAAAACATTCCATTTACTATCTCTTATCATGCTGCCTGAGTAAAGGAGTTCAGACTCAGTCGTGTGTGAGGGAGTTTGCAACTGTGTTGTGTACAAAAAAACCAAGTAGGAGGGCTTTTTGGCAAGCGTATGAGTTAGTTTGCATAGGGCTGCATGCCCAGCCCTGGAGCCACACAGAGAAGGGCTGTAACTGTCATGGAAAAACACCTGGAATATATAAGGAAACCCCCCTGTGTGCTTTGGAATAGGCCAGGGTTCCCCACTGCTCACAGCTAGACAGAGCCACAGGGTCCCATCGTTCAGCTTTTTGGCGCAACACATAATTCTCAAACAGATCAATGAAGATGTCTCCCACAGAGAACAAGCCTGTTTTGCCAACCTGCCCTCTTCTGCTGAATGGTTCTGTTTCGCAAACTGATAGGAGGCTTCACCTCTGGATCTGATATCTAAATTGGTAAATTTTTTGCTGCAGAGCGGGAAAATACCTGGATCTATTCATCATTATGACATATCAGAGTGAAGCAGAACAGCCTAAAGCCTCAGATGGGCTAAATAAAAACAACCTTGAAACACGGCAGTGGTTTATACGTTCATTTCTGGACATGAAGTCACGGAAGGACAGACATGTTATTTTAATGTTCAACAGAATCCATGCAGATAATCTCCCGGGATTAGAGCTGTATAATTTGTCCAACAGCTAAGAAATGAGTCATGACTTTTATTGCAATACCCCCTTTCTTCTTAATTGGATAAACCATGCTGCTTATTTGGATTTGATGGAGGAGTTACTCTTCTGGGAAACCTATGTCATACTGAATAAAAAATGTCCATGTGTCCAACTCCACTCCTCCGGGGTGGATGTCATGCATGTTTTAGTGGAGTCCCTGCAAGTTCACAGAATATTAAAACCATGAGGTATCTTAGGTTGACCGAAGCCCAGTAAGAAACCAGCATCTCCTTCATGTGTACTGAATCAGAAGAAAAGCTTGCAATCATGAACGATACCAGCAATCGGGGACCGGTTTGCAACATCGTTGCATTATGTGATTGTTTATTTGATGTGTCATGGTTTCCTCACAGCTGGGGAGTGCGTGGTCTTGGTGCTCTGATGCTCCAGGCTCCTCTTCCTCCTCAGCAGCTCCTTGACCGGATCCCGAACTCTGACTCCTTGATACGGCCGGGACCGTCCCAGGGTGGATGGCTGTGCTGGAAACACCAGAATCACACACAGACATGAAGGTGCTTTCCCCTCTAACTGCTTCAGGGAAAATCAGTTGAGAATATCACAACAAGCACATTTGTGGAGGCAGTAAGCAGTAAGTAAAAAAAACATCATGCATTTATTTTGATATTTTGTGCAGAAGCAGTTAGACTTCATTAAGATAAGACTGATCGTCAAGTTTTAAGTTCTCTTTGCGTGTTGGCTGCTTCTTCATTTATTCTTCATAAAGCTCTTGAACATGGTCCTTTTAGGATCGATGGATTGTTAAACAACTTAGCAATGTCTCAAATTTTAAAAGGTCTTCTGAACATAGAAGCTATTTTCACATATCTTAGAGAAAATGAAATGATCCAAATAGGAAAATGTTTTCAGTCTTTTGAGAGAAAAAAAACTGAAAAAGTTTAATTGTAACATTCTAAATCAGGGGTCACCAACCTTTTTAAGGCTGAGGGCCACTTCAAGGGTACCGAGACGTAGGAAGGGCGACCATTACTGACCCATGAGCTGCAAGGGTTAGCGTTAGCCTAAACTTTGTTCATTATCAACATATTTTTATTGTGTCTGTTAATTTCTAAGTTTATTTAGACATTGCCATTTTGAAATCTCTATAAATTATTAAAAAGAAGAGCAACAGAATAAAGTAAAATTTCAAACTTAGCCCACTGGTGGGTTGTTCTTTATTTAGAAGACTCTGAGGGCCCCCTATGTGGTCCTTGAGGGCACCTTGGTGCCCACAGGCACCGCGTTGGTGTCCCCTGTTCTAAATCATTCTAAGTAAAGTAATACCAGTTTAGTTTTTTCATTTTGATATTGATATCGTATTTAGCTTCATCCATTGTCTCATTTTCTCTGTTCATCCTTTCTGTCTCTGTTATGAATTATGCTGTCATGACCATGTCTTACCATCAGCCATGATGTGCAGTCATCCTGAGCTATTTCCATAGTAATGCTGCTATAGGCTTAGGCTGCTGCAGGACATAAGGACCATTTTTCCCCATACAGCTTCATTTAACTGCTATCCTCCCATTTTGCAGTAATTGTTAGTCCTAACTTTACGTTCTCTCTGATTTTTCTTGTCATAGTTGCTTCATCTGGTCTGGCCCTGCTTGGCTGTGACAAAACTATCCTGGAGGAAAATAAATGTGGGCTTCCTGGTATCGACACTTTCCATTTGGAATAATTTTGCCTGTTTTTGCAGTGCTTAATCAGGTTTTTCTCCTAGACATGGCTATTCCTGCCGGTGTGTAGGGTGTTCTCTGTTTCACCCCTTTTGATATGAAAACTGGCTAAGAGCTTTCCTCCTTAACTGTTTACTTTCCTAGACAGAGAGCCAGCTATGGAGCTAGTTTACTTTTTCTACCATAGAAAGTATTCATGGATCAGTGCTTCTTTTTACTTTTCTGTGCCTGCTTCTATGCCTTTGGAACCTGGTCAGTCGTGGCAAAAAGGCAACTCACACTGGGCCTGGTTCTGTTGGACGTTTCTTCATGTTAAACTGGGGTTTTTCCTCTCCACTGTCACTGCATGCATGCTTGCTGTGAAGGACTGCTGTATATTTAGATGAAACAACGTAAGCCAGTTTCTACTTAGACTTAGATTTATTTTGTCATTTTGTATACACAAGTGTATACATAAAGAAATTTAGCTTAAAACAGCTCTAGGCAATTTTATCTTTTGCAGTATAGCTTGAAAACAGTAATAAGTACATTAAAAAACAGTAATATAAACATATGAGTGCATATTTACAGTTCTAACATTAATTTATTTTTTTAAATAAATAAAATAACTAGTTTTACATACATTACATACATTAAATTACACAACATTCAGCAGTCTAATGGCAGTGGGAAAGAAACTGTTTTGGAATCTGCTGGACCTGCATCGAATGCATCGAAGTCTCTTCCCAGAGGGAAGGAGAACATTTATGACAGAGGTCTTCAACAGGGGGTCCGCGGCCCCTAGGGGGTCCACAGAGGTACTGCATGGGGGTCGCAAAAGTTTTGATTGATTACTTTTTTTTTTATATTCCCTCCTGCAATTTCAACAGACTGTAGTAAACAGATAAATGGAGGCAGAAGATGTCTTTCAGTCATCAATGCTCACATTCAGCGACACACAGGAGCTCTTTCAAGCTGGGCACCGTTTCATTCACAACACCTGTCCCATCAACCAGGAATCAGAAATACTTTAATAATCCCAGGGAAGGATTACTTTGGTTTCATTACTCCATCTGTATTAGAGTGACTATAGAACCAGTTTGATATAACACAATTTCATACAATATATAAAATTAGGGGGTCCCCGCTCCATCTTGCCATCAGTTTGGGAGTCCTTGGCCTGGAAAACATTGAAGACCCCTGATTTATGATGTTTACGGGCTCGGGACACGCAGCGCTCTACTGTCATCACTCTCACCAGGAGGAGCAAAGTAGAGAACTCAATGCAATCAGCTTTACATAGACTACTTAAACCATCTGACTGTAGGATGTGATTGAATTTTCTCTGTAAAGTTCCTTCATGGGTTGCACAGTGACACAATGGATAGTGCTGCTGCCTTGCAGCAAGAAGGTTCTAGGTTTGATTCCTAGACCTGTGTCTTTCTGCATGGAGTTTGCATGTTCTCCCTGTGCGTGTGTGGTTATTCTCCGGGTACTCTGGCTTCCTACCACAGTCCAGTAACATGACTGTTAGGTTAATTGACTTCTGCAAATTTTCCTTAGCTGTGAGTGTGTGTGTGTTCATAGGTGTGTGTGTTTATCTATCTCTGTGTTTCCCTGTGTAAGACTGGCGACCTGTCCAGGTTGGACCCCTCCTCTCGCCCAGAGACTGCCGTAGATAGGCGGCAGCCCCACCACAACCTGACAAGGACTAAGCAGAAGATGGTGGAAGTTCCTTCAGATGAAATATGTTTTAAATTGCCAATATAAAGATTAAATTAATTCAAATAAAACTCACATTCTTTATCTAACATAGTATTTTGATCTAGCCATTGTTTATTATGTTAAATGGAAATTTAATGCATTTTGTTTTGCAGTATGTGGGTAAACAGGGCTGAGCATTGACGGATATCATGCTATGATTTTTTTTATTATTTTTTCTGTAAAACAGGTATAACATTTTTTTATGCAATTATCTGCTTTTATTTTTCAGTGCATATTAAATGGAATATTTTTTTCTTAGAGGTTTGGTTTCTAATAGGATCCGATGTGAAGAAAGTATGAATATTTTTATGGAATGCATATAATAGACAACTAAGCAAACAAAATAAAAATAAAAACGTTCATCTGCAGGAACTCTTGCTTGAGTATAATGAAGCATTTAATTTACATAACTTTTTATATTTGCAACTAAAGAAACACAATCCATCCCACTGGATGAATTATCCTGTTTAAAAACTGTTAAAACTGTATTTCTTATTAGTGTTGTTTTTTTCATGTTATGTGATTCTTCATACCTCACTAATAAATAATGGTTTTTAAAGAAACCAAATTCAATTTTTTCATAAGAAAATAGAAAAATACAAGCACATCTGTATTCTCAACAGACACAACAAATAACCTGAAAATTAAATTAAATGCAATAAATGCCTTTTTGTGTTGCAGTAATGTGGATTTGGCTGTAATACAATCATTTCATCAACTAAACCACAACAATATTTACAGATAAACAGAAGACTCAGTCTTCTAAAAACATTTTCAACCCAAAGATCTCAGACATGACCAGATGTTTATAGCACAACAACTGCTGCAGGTTCCAGCATGACCCATCACTGAACCTCTACAGAATCAAGTCATCCCGTTAACACCGAACAAGCAGACAAGGCCTGCAGACAAAACCATCATTCAGTACGTCCCAAGGCCCTAAATAGCAGATTCAGTGACCTGGACAGACCATGCTGCACTTCAGCCGTATGAGCTTCAGAGATTGTGTTATGCAACAAAGAAAACAAATTAGCCAGAGGAGATAGGTGAGGTTGTAAGAAAGATATGTCCGTCCTGAGAGGAGGCCCAGGCTGAAGGATTACATGTCCTTTACTGAGCTGCATTTCATGGACTTAGTGAGTCTAAGTAAATCTAGGATAGTTTATTAATGTAGCACAATTTTTTACAAAGAAAATTCAAAGTGCTTTATGTAAATTAAAGAGTAAAATTGAAGGAAAGTAAAAGCAGAATAAAAGACAGTAAGAATAAAAGCTGGATAAAAGCAGGTGGTAAGGCAAATAAAAGATTAATAATACCTTAGTTAACAATTTAACTTCAACAGCCAAAGGCAGCTCTAAACAAATTGGTTTTTAAGTTTGACTTTAAAAAAAAACCTCGGGCTTTCAGCTCTTTTCCAGTCTTCTGTTTGTTCCAGATCAGTGGAGCATAGCAGCTAACTGCTGCTTCTTCATGTTTGGTTGATCAGTGTTGTTTTGGTCAACAGTGACGAAACTAATTCGTCGACGCTCCTTGTTTTTCATCACGATAACGAAAACTGACGAGCTAAACATGAATCTTTGATCATGAAAACATCATGACTCATGGGTGTGATTTTTCTTTGACGAAAAGAGGCTAAATAAAAATATTAGCGGATGGTCGGTCAGACGTTTAAACTGCATCATTGTGCATTATCAGCCGTGCTGCTGCGTCCAGTTTGATCACGGCTCCCACCTGGCGTGACGCGGTGCACATTCTGCAGGACCACAGATGGATCATGGCAGCAGTGGCAGGGGTGAAAATAAGCCAGCTGGAATGTTCTGGACTTTTTTCTGCTACTGGAGACTTTGGAGACAACATCTAAAAGCAGCGAACTCTGCTCTCCAGAGCAAGTAGATTGGTAACCCCGCCTCCTGCTCTCCTCTATCTTGTCTGTTGTCATGATTCATGCAGCTATTATTTCATCCAAATGAAAAATGGAGAACAGATAAGCAGATCATGGCCCCATGGGTCACAACCAACCCAACCACGTTTCTAACAGATTTTCCCCCCTCAGTGACACACCC